AAACTTGGAGCTATCCACATAAGAAGCCATCTCAATAACTAATTTGGGAAAAATACTAATAGCTCTCTTGGTGAAACAAGCCAGTGAACAATCAACAATAACGATATTGCTCCATAGTATACAATTTTAATATTTCTCTTGAAAAAGTGCCAGGTCAAGTTGAAGACATTCAGCCTTGACAGTTTGAAGACAAGGAAATGGAAAATCATCACGGACTAAATAAGCATTAGTCACCTTAAGTAGCACATGAGACAAAAGGGAATAAGCATCCCGTATAAACCATTCACATGGATTAAGATGGTACCTCTGCAGTCATGTACTCACCGATGCAAAGCGACTAAGGCCCAAAACAAAGTCCTAAACTCACCTATTTCCTAAAGATATCCTAGGAAGATCATATTGGACAGCACACTCCAAGAACCCATATACCTTGAGAAATATTTTGAAAGAAACTCATTTGTTATCTGAAAAGTGGATGGAATTCACAAGAGTTTAATTATCATAATGCAAATGACCAAAACCACAACTACTGATATTTGTAAATGCAAATCAGCATACTAGTAAATGCACCTCTGCATAATTCCAAATATTGTTCATGTAATTCTTCGCATACGTAATACGAAATCAAAAAATCAGCAATGTAGAACCAGGACATTTTTTCCGGCACTCAAAGGCAGTAGATAAAATATATGAGGAACCCACATACTAATAAATTTCTTTGCAGGGGCTCCGACCGATAATCAACTGTACATGATTGAAGAAAAATGCGAGCAACACAAAGGAAATGTGACAAAGAATAGTCTTTATCACTAAGCAAATGGTGAACCATGATTTAGGTCTAAAGGTACTTTTGTAGCCTAACGACAAAGACCATCCATTTTCATGTGTCTTGTAATAAATCTGACGGTACTAATTCTTTGACATGAATAAAGTGAACGGCTGTTCACGGATTAGTGGCCAGAGTCTGACCACTCAAACTATAGACTCAGGTGTCGCCCTGTGCAGTTTAATCAAGCCTACAATGATTCAATAGCAAAAAAATACCCTGTTAGCTTGGCTGATAAGCCATGGCTGAAAGTATTGTTGGCTGATTTGTTGTGAGAGAAAAATATTGTTCATTGGCTGAAAAAGTATGGCTTATAAGCCAAACGAACAAGGTGAAAAAGGATAATAAGGGTAGTGGTGGCACAACATGCAGGGACAGTAACAAAAAGTAGAACTTGCTCTATTGACCAACAAATATATATGATCCAAAACTCCACAAATATGCCGATCTGAACACAAGAGCATTAACTATTTGAGTAGACACAGTTTTAATTAGCTTGTCATACGAAGATAGATGTGTGTACTTTATTTTCCCTTAACAATTAGGAATCATGTATCTTATGAGGAATTATCACAGCAGCAGCTAATAAATGTCCCTCAACAATTAGGTCCCGTTCGGCTTGCTGAATTTTGGTTGAAACTGACTGAAAAACACTGTTCTGGTTGAATTGTTGTGAGAGAAAAACACTGTTCCGACTGAAAAAATAAGCCGAACAAGCCGAATCTGGGGTAAGCCGAACGGGGACAACCAATCCATGTGAATGTAGTTGCTGAAATTATGTGCTCTGTGTTCAATTTTAGAATGAATATATTTTCTAAACAACTATGTTTTTACCTTTACAGTTTCAAGTGGAATATATTTGAACAACTTTTTTGCCTTTTAGTTTTCAATTGAACACTCTATCTGAACATAAATGTTATGTTCATGTGTTCCTGTTTAATATAAACCATTAAAACTGTACTTTTTGAATTTTCCATGAAGTATTCTCCCCTGAAAATGGATGCTCTGCCAATTTACTGTTACTTCCAAAGTCATATACACTTATGAACCCTTCTAATTTTTGGGTTTCTTTATGGCAACATTTATATAAGAGATGAACTATAGTGTAGGTTAATGATATCAACAAGTTTTGGAATTTTAGCTCAATCCTACAGTTCCTTTCGATGCAAAATAAATGAACTGCTATGTGATCTTGACCAGCAATGTGTGTAGCGCACGCACCGACGGCCGTGTGGGCGGGGACGTGGGCGCGTCCGCCGTGGCCCTCCCGCCCGCGAAGACAGGTCCAGCGACAATTGGGGTGGTCGACTCCAGCTTCTACGAAGCAATCTCGTGGCCGCAGACGCTCCCTCAAAGCTCTGCTTGCTTTTAATTTGAGATTGAGCTGCTGTGCCGTGACTTCCGGTCATGTCTTTCATGGATTCTACGGAACTTGCTTTGTGATTGAGTCTCTCAAAAATCAAAATACATTAATTTGCTTCTTGCTTTTGACACTGAACCAAGGACACGTGAATCATTTATTTGTTGATTTGTTCCTTGAAGTGGAATTTTCCTAATTTGCTAAACTGAATCAAAGATACGTGAGCGACTGAACGTTGATTTCTGCTGAGTGAAATTTTTTCTCTCTAGCTCATGGGCTTACCGAGGTAGCTTGAGCCAATTACTGAGCCGAGCCCGTCGCGCCGCCCCCAACACCAGCCCGCATCCGCTGCTCCTGCACTGGAGGTCCACGATCGGACGGCTCGAGCTGGGGGTTGATGTCTACTCGGCCATGGCTGGCGCGCCTACCTGGGCTGGCATTGGCCGGCGGCGGCGCGGCGTTGGGGTGTCATCGGGCGACCGTGGTAGCAGCCTGGCGGTGGGCAGCCGCGGTGGCGGCGGGCGAGCGGGCCAGGTGGGCGACTCCGATAAGAACAGAGACAGATAACGCACACGGCAGATGATGAGGAGCTGCTCAGATTGTGAAAATACTACGGTACCCTTGCGATTAAATTTGAAACTAGTTCGTAGTCCACGTATTATAGGTTCTGGTCCACAACTTAAGTTCTTCTGTATTGGTTCTTCTCATTTTATAATTATTAGATTAGATTTGTTTAGATGGATGGGTATAGTTTTTTCCGAGCACCGTAAAATTCCTCTAATGAAGCATGTGACGTTCTTGAGAAAAGCTATGTACTATATTTTCTCTGTATTGATCTATTTATTCTCTTCTTGCAGGTTACCATGTTGGCGGGGAATACAATTAGAGTACTGTATTTAAGTATTTAAATATCTGCAATAAAAAGGTATAGGTGATCTTGATTATTGTTTCAGCATTTCTGTGTTTTTGACATTCATTTTCCAAACTTTTGCAGACCATTTTAGTTTTTTTCTGTATATAGGGTAGAAAATCTTATGAGAGGACAGGTACTTTGACTAGCAAATTTTGTGTACGCTCTATCCGAGAACAACCACCTGTATTATTCTCTTATATGCACGATATCAGTCTACTAGAAATTCAATTTGGTACTTAGTAAGGCCTTCGATGCTACACATTTTCCTGGAGCTACAAAATGGACGGTTCATTTATGGATTGAATTTGATTTGTGCAAAAAAGGGGAGCCGTGGCATGGATGCTTTTATGGGTTTTATTTAGTGTTTTGTTGCTTGATTAAATGCTATCGGTTGTGGATTGTACATTTCAGTTTGATGCCATGTTTGTGGCACGCGGCACACTGGGTTAGTGATTGTTACGAAAATGAATTAGCACCCAAGAAAACCTAATAAACAGCAAATATGTGCATGGTTGTTTTGACGCTATTAAATTGGTGCCCATGATTCTTTATAGCTCAAAAACTTGCTAGGTTCAGATGGACTGTACTATCAGTTGACCTCAATTTTTTCATGCTCCTACAGCATCGAAAATTTTGAGAGCCGTAGCAACGCACGGACAAACTTTGAGCTCCTCTGTAGCATTGAAAATTTCAAGATTCACGTAGCAACGTATGGGTGAAATTTTTAAGGCTTCCGTAGCAACGCACAGGCATCTGCTAGTCAAAGCAAATAAACCAAATCGAGAACAGCAGGTTTACGGTTTCACCTGGGCCTTGTTGCAGCCACAGACCACAATCAGAAGGGAGGATCCATACAGGAAATAAGAGGTTTTTACCAGTGTGTCATTATAAAAGTTGGTAATTACCCACAAGTCAAAAAAGTTAAGTTTTCACAGGTGCCACTGCTATGAACTCTTTTGCCCTCCGCGCCACTTCCGTCAAATTTGACTCTAACAGTGTCAAACTGCGGGTGTAAAAAATCAAAAATACCCTTATGTCTAAATATGTAATTAATTTTTTTAGCATCTTAACGATCTCAAATAAAAAAAACTCAAAACTAGAAAGTTGTAGATCTCGTCGAGATCTATAATATTTATATAAAAACTATCTTCATTTGATTCCGTACAAAAAATATGACTTTTCTAAGACATATTAATCATATCTTTTTTTGTACGGAAATAATGAAGATAATTTTTATACAAAAAATGTAGATATTATCGAGATCTACAACTTTCTAGTTTTGAGTTTTTTTATTTGAGGTCATTAAGATACTCCAAAAAATTAATTGCATATTCAGACCTGAGGATATTTTCGACTTTTCATAGTCGCGGTTTGACACCGTTACAGCCAAATCTGACGGAAGTGACGTGAAGGGCAAAAAAGTTCAGGGCAGTGACACCTGTGAGAACTCAACTTTTTAATGGCTTATGAGTAATTACTAACTTTTATAATGGCACATGGTTAAAAGACGAAACAGAAACAAGCTTAAGATTAAAGGGCGGCTGCTAACGTGCCTGTACTACATGCTACAGCCAGTGTGGCATGAGATTTTGCTATTGTCAAATTTTGGGATATCAAACGGGGTACACCAACTGAGATGACACTATTTCCTCTTAACAGTGAGCACCCAAAAAAATACGTACATGGTTTAAATCTAGGAATGTTGCTATTATATATACTACTCAAATCAAAGAGCAGATAATTAAAGAGGACCTAATAATTGATTTACATCCAGAGTGCTGCATGAGAAAACATGGGGGGTATTCTTATTAGTCCGCTGTTATTTTTGCAAGTACAAACGTGTACACGTTACCACCCTCAGGCGGTCAGGCCCCAATAAGGAGATTAAAGAAATAGATGTCCTATACAGGTGTATATGTACGCGTAACTATGCTACATTCGTTGTGACAAACAGGCACATCAGTATCGTCGCTGAACGTCCGCATCCTGGACGTGAACCGGGGACCTTGAGTCCTTGAAGCAGCTGACCACCAGAACGCCTTGAGCTCCTCGGCGAAGTCCCTCTCCCTGCCCAGAACCACCGTCGAGTGGTCACGCCTGTCCATGACACTGAGCTTGGCGCGCGGGAGCTTAGCCATGAGATGGCGGCTGCACTCGACCGGAACCACCTGGTCGTCGGCGCCGTGGACCACCTGCACCGGGATGCCGGCCGCCACGACGGCCTCCAGGTTCGCGTCCTGCAGCCTCGCCCCGCCGCAGATGACGTTGTGCATGGTGTGCCACGCCGAGTGGTGGGTGTGCTTCGTCAGATCCCTCACCCTGAAATCCACGTCCCTGCATTGCATTGCATGCAACGTTCTTCTCATCAGTACTTTTTTCAGATAGTTTCAGCACTGTTTTGTCTAGAGAAAAGAGATAGTTTCAGCACTGTTCAGCGTGTCTGAAACTCTGAACCGTGCCTACGAAGTGTATGTACGTACGTGTTTCCCGTGAAGAGGCTGAAGAGCCACTCCCAGAGCAGGTGGTTCTTGCAGACGAGGAAGCAGACGGTCCTCCCGATGTGCTCGTACCACGACATCACCGCGGAGCCGAACAGCAGCGGCGGCCACAGCTTCTTCTCGGCCAGCCTGTTTAGCGCCACCTGGCTCGCCCTCTGCTCGCACGGCAGGAAGTACGGCTGCATGTTGCAAGTGCAACCAACGAACACGGTCAGTCGTCACTGACTGATGGTGAGCGGCAAAGGAGCTGCCTGCCTACTGGTGTGTGCGTGTAACTCTACTCACCGGTGCAACCAGCGTGATGGATTTCACGCGGGTCGGGTGCTTGGCAGCCAAGGCGAGGGCGATGATGCAGCCCATGGAGTGGCTGACCAGGTGGAAGGAGGCGCTGCCGCTCATCAGGCCATGCGGCTCGATGAGGCTCCTCTCGATCGCCTCGACGTGGTCTCTCACTCTGTACATGCAGTTCGCAGGCTTGGGGCTCCGGCCGAAGCCGAGGAGATCCACGGCGAACAGCCGGCAGTCGTCGAGGATGAAGGAGGACTCCCCGAACACCGTCTCCGCCCAGAAGGACGACGACGACGTGAAACCGTGCACGAAGATGGCGTTCTCGCGGTCGGGCGTGCGTGTTCCTGCTGCTGCATCTGCAAACCGGCCGCCGGCGGCGGTTTTCCGATCCGGCTCTTTGACGACGACGTGCAGCCGGCCGCCGGCTTCGCCCTCGCCGGCGCCTCGCCATGCGACGCACGACTTGCACGCGCAGTCAGACCACCTGGGGCTTCGCCACTTACAGGGGGGCATCGGCTCATCCGGCGGCGCCGCTCCCCTCCTCCCGACGACGAGTCGCAGGAGCCCCAGCAGCGCGTCCCTGACGGCGCTCCTCCGACCGTGCGCGTACAGCGTGTCGGAGACCTCCTCGTGGTCACCGCCGTCCACTGCTGCAGCGGTTGCCTCGCTGATGCCGTCGTCGTCGTCGTCGTAGCTCCTGTGGCAGTAGCAGCGCACGGGGCTGTCCTCGAGGACGCCGTCGAGGAGGGCGTACACGAAGCAGAGGATCACGTCGGCGACGTCCAGGACCGCGAAAACGGCGCTGGCCAGCGCCGTGGACGCCGCGCCGGTGGCCCTCCGTGGCCATGTGGTGGAGGTGGACCACCGGCCGGAGCTCGGGAACGTTCGCATGGTAGGTGGTGCCAGAAGGGACGGGAGGGAGGCGTGGCGGCGAACTGAGGAGACAAGGCACAAAGCGGATGGAATAGATCGACAACGCGAGCCGTGCGTGGGGCTGGAAGGCCGTGCGCTGGCCGTTGCTCCACGTCGTCGGTGTGCGCGGACGACGGAATCCGCAAGCAAAAGCCAAAGGCAACCAGGCAACGATCTTTTTGACCGGGTCCCGCTTGCTTTGCGTCGTTTTCACACCGTGTGTTTCTCGTACGTGCCGTGCACATCGTTTCGTCTCGTCGGAGTTGTCGCTAGGCAGGGCCGTAGGAGTAGCGTTCTCCCGCGCGCGTCTGCTTTTTGCATGACGCGTCCATTTCGATTCAGCAGCTCATGGTCTCATGGACCTGTTGATTTGGGATTCAAATTCAGTTATGTATAAGATAAAGGCTAACTTCTATCGGAGCGAAGCGAGATCCGTCGTCGGGAGGCTTAGGCCGAAGCAAAATATCAACATTTTTCAACATTAGTGGTCACATCTATAACCAAGCATGTCTTCAAGCTTATCGCAACCTCTTCAACAGGGGCCTCTTGAACACTCCTATATTCTGTATTGGCTTCCTCTTCAATAGGGGCCTCAGCCCTCCGGTCTCCTGAAAAAAAAGAACTAACTACAAAGTATAAATTGAGTGCACATGGACTTCCAACAAAAAAAACTATAGTAATTCAGATTATTTTCTATCATTGTCCAGTTCAAAAGGTAGAAACTTTTTTATATTGGATTGGATTATAATCCCTTTTGATATACTTAATCTAAATGATTAGAAGTATTGTCAGACAGAGAATTAACTACTATAATCACATAATAAGATTAATAGGTAACAATTTTCTGCATCCTTGCATCACAGTTACAGGCTCATGTAGTAATGCACCACCAAAGCTATTTAACAAAATAATTATGACGATAATTTGGCTAAAACAAGAATAGTACTACCAGCACTCATAAGCACTAAACACATTAGGGTTATCGAATCATCTTATTCTAATTTCTAATACCGAAGATTGTGAGTAGCTTCGGTTAAAAAAATACAGAGTAGCTGAAGGATAACCACATAATCAAACAAAGTTACCATAAGCAAGTTTTTGTAGAGCCTATCCCTGAGTTACAAGAATGAATAAAAAATTATGCTAATTAGGAAACACTGATACATGCAGTAAATACAAAAACAATCAAAGTTACAATAGTGTTAGAAAACGTGGTTCCACACTATCAAACATGACACACCTAATGAAGATGATGGGCACTATGAACGAACAGGTACGCCTGAAGGACTTATAATCAACCAAAGTAAAGGAAGCACGTGTAGTCAGCATTCAGAAAAAGAGAAGCAACAGAAATTCGTGTGACAGGAGCATCATGGATGAGTCGAGCATTCAGAAAACAAGGCTGCAAGAGGAATCTACGCCCAATTTATCATGCCATAGTACAATGCTGTTTTTTATGCCTGACCCTGAATAATATGAATTAAAATTTACTCTAATTATGCAAGACCTATACCTAAGCCTGAGGACTGATAAATCAACCAAATAAATGAAAGTTATGCAGTTAACATTCAGAAAAACAGAAGCAACATGAATTCATGTGACACAGGAGAACTAAGGATAAATCGAGCATTCAGACAACTACAACAGAAAATCCAAGCCTGATTCGTCGTGCCAGGCCTCAATGGGACATCCTGAAAAGCACAAACTATTATCCGGGCGGTTTGGTAGAGCTTCGACTTCAACCAAAACAGCTTCAGTTATGGCTTCATTTGTGGAGCAGATTCAGTTGTGGAGCTGAATCAATTTCTTAAACCGTTTGGCAAAACAACTTCGCCTGCTAGTCTAAAATGATGAAATGTCCATAATACCTCTCTTTTCTTTTCTTTTTCTTTTTTCTTTTTCTATTTTCTTTTCTTTTCTTTTCCAACGTTATCTGGTCCCCCACACCGTCGTAGCCATATGCAGTCCCACCGCATCCGCATGACCGCATCTCCTTCAACCTTATCTCCTCATCACGCGGCCGCACTCTCCTTCCCAATCTCAATCGCCGCCGGCAGGAAGTGCGCCGCGGCTCGGCTGGTCTCTGCCGGCGCCCCTTCCTCCTCCTCCCCTAGTTGCGCCGGCCACCGCGCCCCTTTCCTCCTCGCGCGCGTGGTCGTGCTCCACGCCTCCACCTCGTCGTGGCTCGACACCAAGCGGAAGCGTGGCGGCGTGCCTCAGAGCGTGACGCGTGCCCCGGACAACCGTGTTCGCCGCTGGCCGGCCCGACGGATCCTTCTCGATGGCCGGTGGCTGCACCAGCGACAATGCCCTGTCTTACCCGCGCATGCTGAGGGGCAAACTCGCCCAGGGCCCGCGCATCTGAGCAGGAGCTGAGGGAAGCTAGTTTTTTCGGCTTCATCTCTCATCTTCACTCCCTCGCAGCGCAAATCACGGGACTTCTCCAAAAAAACTGTTCTCTTGGTACCCGTTTGGTAGGAGGAGTCGTGAAACAGCTCCCAAAGCGGTCCGGGAGCGCTACCAAACGGGGCTTTAGATTAATCAAGAATCCAAGCCGTAAGAAAATAGACTGAGGATGGCAGAAGGGTATTGTATTGCAGGGCTGTTCACCTCAAGATGTTGTCTCCACCTGCGAGAGAAGAGAGAAAAATCAAGGAAACCTCGTGCCTCGCTGCTGTCCAGACTTTCAGAGTAATGAGTACTCGCCGGCCGTCGCTTCCCGTACGTGCCACAGCCTCAGGCAGAGCTCAGTGACAGTGACGACGGCGCAGAAGTAGCCTGGCAGGTGGGGCAGGACGCTCGCGCCGCGAGCCACCCCTCCACGCAGGCGGCGTGGAACCCGTGGCCGCACTCGGACGCGCTCGCCGCCTTCCAGGTCGGACAGGCAGATGGCGCAGTCCGCTTCCGCTTAAACGCCGGCGCTGGCGGCGGCCCTGGACGGGAGCTTGGGCTCCTGCTCCTGCGCAGGAGCCGCCGCCGCCTCCCAATGCGGGCATAGCGCGTGCGTCGGGAGGGGGAGGAGCGGTGCCACGCGAGTTGGGACCGGAGAAGGAGCGGTGGCGGCATGGGCGAGCGAATCAAGAGCGATAAAATACTTTTTCCAAAGAAGAAACAAGCTAATGCGAAATTGAAGCTGTAATTCGATGGTCCAAATTCGCGGCCCGCGGGCCATTAATCAGAAAGCAGCTCAAAAGGCCCATTGTTTTATCGTGAATGAATGAAATAAATAAAAATAAAAACCGACGAACCCAGCAGGCCACCACCGTCGCCGCCGGTATCCTTCCGCCTCCGCCCCGCTGCGGCGGTCACTCTGCTTACACACCACGCCAAGCCGCCCGCTAAAAGCATCGCCGCGAAAAATTCCCAAACTCCTTCACCTCCCCTCCCGCCCAAAACCCTAACCCCCCACAGCCACCGCCTCCGCGCGCGCCCGCTGGCCATGGGGTCGCCGCGCGAGCTCGAGCTCTCCGACGAGGTGGAGGGCGAGGAGGACGGCACCGACGACTTCGTATTCCGCCTCGCCGGCGACCCCATCCCGCTACTCCCGACCGACTCCAACCTGCTCCCGCTCTTCGACCTGCTGTCCCCTCCCGCGCGCCCGCTCGCCGTCTCCGACCGCCACGCCACCGTCTTCCTCGCCCACCCCAGCGGTATCACAGAGCCGAATGCTTACTCCGCTCGGCATTCCCGTCTCGATCTCACCGCCTAACTAGGGGTTCTCATTCGGTTTACAGGGTTTCTAGCTGTGAGGACGAAGGAGTTGATCGAAGCCAGCAAGGAGGCGCGCGAGAAGGGCAAGGCGAGCACCCGCTGCGCGCAGGACTGCTGCGTCGCCGATGTGCCCCTCCCCGGTGTATCCCTCATCGCGCTCTCCCATGATGAGTCCGTGTTAGCAGCCTGCACGGATACTGAGATCCAGTTCTTCTCGTTGGCGTCTCTGCTCACACATAAGGTTATCAGTTTTTCTCAGGATCTCTGCAAAATTTGTGCACGCTGTATTTCTATACAGGCTAGTGCAGTAGTACGTGAAATGAGAAGACTGATTAATTCAGTTTCTTCACAAACTTGAGTGACTTTTTCATGTAAGAGCACTATAGTCAGTAATGGACGAGGGGGTAGGGGCATATCCATGTATGCTTCTCTCTTAGTAGTAGGACACTAGGACTTGTGGGAGTTCAGCATTGGTTACTCCTTTCGCGCTGTTGCATAAGGCCTGCATTGTGCTGTTTATTGATCTGGTCTGTTTTCAGTGCCATTAGCTTGTTCACAAGCTTCTGTTAGAGAAGGTGTTATGGCTTTTGTCAAGATTATAACATTTCTTAACAATTGTGCTGCACAGGATGTGGTACCATCCTCATCATGTAGCCTGGGACGAGCTGGCACTGTGAAAGATTTCAAGTGGTTAAATCATGCCTCTGCAGCATATATTGTACTCTCAAACGGTGGGTTGCTGTGTCATGGGAGTTTGGGCGAAGGCCTGAAGGATGTGATGGAAAACGTTGATGCAGGTCCATGTCTTTTCCTAATATTATTCCTAATGCATTTGAATTTGAGGCACATATCATGAACTGCTGCTACGACATTCTTAGTGTGTGAGATATGTCATGTAAATTAATTAATTCCACTTAAGCGAAGTTCAGTGGTACGAATGATGCTTTGGTGTTTGCTGGTGAGAATGTTCATTGTTCTATGATGATTCTGTAGTTTCCAAATGTTATAGCATAGATGATACAGGCAAATGAAAACATGTCCATTACTTACATGCTACAAGTTTCAAAATAAAGGAAATTGCAGTCACAACCAATAGAGTAATCTCGTGATCTATTTTCTCTAATGGCTACTCTTAACAACATCTCAACAACAACAACAAATCCTTTACCTTAACAAGGCTGACTACATTAAACTTATCAGAGGTCTGTACAAGTGTACATCAATAGTAATGAAAAATATTATATTTATCTTCAGATGCATTGTTTACTCTGAGGTCTTTATGCATTCTGCTTTGAAGCATGGGGTCTGTTTGTTGCATTTTTAAGCCGCAGCCGTTGCAGCTACCTGTAAATATTTTCTCCTGTGCTAAGTACTATTGTATCACCTGAAAGCTTACAGCCGCAGTGGCTTAAAGTCATAGCGAACAGACTCATTAGCTTTTTTTTTTTTTGCAAAGTTAGTTCTTTGCTAACCATCGCTGATGCAATGTTGTAACTGAAGTTAACCATCACTGTCTTGGTTCTCAAACTGAAGTAAGCTATCTTTTTGAAATGTATATAGTTGATTGTTGCAAGGAAGGAAATCATATTGCCGTTGCAAGAGGGAACAAACTTACCATATTATCACCAGATTTTAAGGAAACATGCTCCATGTCCCTCTTGTTCCAGTTGTGGTCTGATGAAAGTGATTCAGAGGGCACTGCCATCAAAGGTAACCAACTAACCATACACCTTTCTCTTGTGTAGTCTATATTACAATCCCTGGATACAGAATGAAATGCTCTAATTTTAATCTTATTGTTGTTTTTGTTCATATTTTTTTCTTCATAGCCTACCCCAGCTTGGCAGCTTGCTAGGGACTAAAGCTTTTTTGTTCTATATTTTTCATCAGTCATGTAAGGCTGTCAGTTGATCGAGATGGTCCACTAGTTAGTTGAAACACTAGTAAAATGGAGGTGATCATCACCATATACTATAGTCCTTCTCTGTCAAAAAAACAGCACCGTGCTTACACTGAGTCACTGATATGTAAAGTTGATTTGTGGTCTATGGTAGATGAAACTGATAGGTTTGGTTCTCATCAGGCCCTGAATTCACGAGTATCACGTGTTTCTTACATGTTTTTACCCTTTGACCAATTGATTTTGTCTTTATGAAGAAATTGCGAGCACCAGAGTCTATATGTATGATGCCCACTTATTGGATGACCAGGGATTCTTGGAACAAGTTTATGAATACAACAACAACAACAACAACAACATATCCTTTCAGTCCCAAGCAAGTTGGGGTAGGCTAGAGTTGAAACCCACCAAGAGCCCCATGTCACGGTTCAGGCACTTCAATAGCTGCTTTCCAAGTACTCCTATTCAAACATAGATCTCTAGATATATCCCAAGCTTTCAAATCTCTTTTTATTGCCTCCCCCCATGTCAATTTCGGTCTTCCTCTACCTCTCCTCATATTATCAGCTTGGCTTAGGACTCCACAATGCACTGGTGCCTCTGGAGGTCTCCTTTGTACATGGCCAAACCACCTCAACCGATGTTGGACAAGCTTTTCTTCAATTGGTGCTACCTCTAGGCGATCACGTATATCATCGTTCCTTAGTCATCCTGTACAATTATATATTGAAGAACCAATGATAAAATTGATAGCCCCTTAGGAAACTGTGAGATATCTTGTCATCCAGAACCCTTAGGATAGTGTTGTTTCTTGACATTTGCTCCATAAACACTGAGATGTATAGAACTATACATTGGACATAGAGTCATCCGTTCGTTTTTGTATGTTACTGGTTTACTTGCAGCTGAAATTGCATTTAGTATGTACTTTTATTGTTCATTATTGATGATTTTCTATTTGCGAGCAGTGGATTCCATTGGCTGGGTACATGGTGATAGTATTGTTATTGGGTGTGTTCGATTAAATGAAGATGACAATGAAGAAGGCTATCTTGTTCAAGTTATAAGGACTGAAGAAAGCACATTTTGTGAGGTTAGTTGGTCCTCTAGACTTTTTTTTTTGCTGTCGTCGGATACTCAGATTCATATCACATGCGATGTGCTATTTAGCCAAAGTTTCATTTTCATATATTTTTTAGCAACATGCTTGTATAAAGTTGCTTCAATAGCTAGAGATATCTCTTTGGGCACATAGGCAAAGTTTCATTTGCGTATATTTTTAGGAACATGTGTGTATAAAGTTGCTTCAATAGCTACATATATCTCTCTGGGCATAGTTAGGCCATGACCAGACCACAGCAAATGGCAAATCATGTTTCAAGGATATAATCTGAATGTTTACCAAGATCATGTTCTTGGTTGGGATTTATTCAAGTTAAAATTGTGTCTATGTTTTTGTCTTAATATCCAAGATGTATAGCCGTCCATTGGATTCATACGGAACTCTCGGATGACAAAAAATAAATCCTACAATTGGTTTATTGTCATATCATTATTGGCAAGGGTTAATAAAACATATTTATGTAATTTTTGCGTTAACAAATATGAAATATTACAGTACTAATTGGTTGAACTGAATGTGTTACTTTTGCAATGTGCTTATAGAGCCCAGGCAAGCCAGATGTTTATACCTATGTCGATTTTTTCCATGGCATTATGGATGATGTTTTACCATCTGGAGTTGGACCTAATCTGCTTTTGGGTTATCTGCATCGCTGGTATGTGAACCTAAGCCCTTGAGAAGCTCTATTGAGTATTCTCAGCATGTATGTTGGCCGGTTATTGGACAGATTTTATGAGTACTGAAATGGAAAATGAATTTTCTGCATGGATTTCACCAAAAATCTTCCGAGAAGGAAATCCTTAATCCATCAACTAACCTGATTTAAAATATGGCACTGTACACAGTTACTAGTCATGCTATAGGTCCATTTGTCAATTGTGCCCCCCCCCCCAGCCAGCACGCCATGGTTAGCAGTCCAGGTTCGATGGCTAGCAAAAACTTCTTAAAGAACAAAATCAGGGGGAGATCTCTCCCCCAGGTCTCGTTTTTTTAATAGTTCCCATTTACCACTTGATTTGTAATCAAGGGAGTATATAGTGACTTAGTATTTTCCAGGCACTACCCCTATAGCGATACATATGATACAGGATGGCACAAACCAGTTAATTGTATGCGTCAACAAGGTAGTAACCATGTGTATTTTGTCTTCTCTTACCTTGTTTGCTTGCTAGGTTCTCTTACGGTCTTACCATGCAATGGGGGCCTTTTATATGGAACTTAGGATAACAATCTATTAGTCTTTTATTTATTCTTCTGCTGGTGCTGCTTTGTTGGTTTTCAATATTACTACTCCCTCTGTTCCAAATTATAAGATGTTTTGACTTTTTTAGATACATTGCTTTTACTATGTATCTAGACATAGTGTATATCTAAATACATAGCAAAAGCTATCGAATCTAGAAAAGCCAAAGTGTCTTATAATTTGAAATTGAGGGATTACATTAGATAAAAAGAGGGATACGGTCAGGTGAGGTCCACCCCTTTTTGCTAGCCCGTCTGCTGTCCACGGTGATATTTATTTGCTTGCTATTGCATTTCTCTTCTAACCGGTGGGAACTTTTAAGTGGGGATTTTTTAAAAAAATATTTTTTAGGGATCTCATGGTGGCTTCCAATAAAAAGAGCATTGAAGACCACATTGCCCTTCTGAAGTGGCCATCTGCACATGATGATGAAAAAACTGTAACATATCTTGAAATGTTGGAGGATAAATACAGTCCTAGGATTGACTTGCAAGGTAAATCCTATCCCAGGAAACATCGCTTTTATGATATGTTGTTGCTTCTCTTCGAAAATGAAGTCTCAACAGTTCAGTCTTCTTTTGTGATTTTTTTCAGAGAATGGCGATGACAACGTCATACTAGGGTTTGGTGTTGAGAATGTTTCATTATTTCAAAAGATCACTGTAACAGTTGGACCTGAACAAAAGGAGGTTGCCCCTCAACATATTCTACTCTGTTTGACTGGTGAAGGCAAACTAGCTGTATATTACCTCGCCAGGTAAATATTGTTTGTTGATACTTGTCAGCGTAATATTGTGAAAATTTGGTCACTTTAGCTACTTTAACTTCTAAATACTGAACTTTTGTTGGAGAAACATTTTTGTATTGACACTGTATATTGTTTAGGATTTCGGACCCTTCTGATTTACCTCATGCTACTGTGTCTACCAATGAGGACTACGGTGAAAAACATATTTCACCTGCAACTGTATCTGAAAAGGAGTTGACTCCAAGTGTAGGCTCGGTATCTAAGAGTACTCTCACTGAACATGGTGCTGAGGCCTCTAGTGCACAAACAGGTAAAATGATGCTATCCAAGAGCTTCTAAGTTGCACTTTGATGAGCTATCTTTTTGTTTCTCCAAGTGCTTTCGAAAACTAAAGTACCCTTATGTTATATCCTTGCAGGTAGCAACCAGCAGGAATCAATGAATGTGAAAAACAGTAGCTCAGCTTCAAAAGAGCAGGAAACAACTGGCAATTCGTTGCTTATCTCTTCCAATAAGAAGCCCATAGACACCAGGCAACTGAATGTGACTGCTCCACCTGCAGCCTTGCCTAGCTTAGAATTAACAGGAAACACAAAACCTACAATATCTTCCAGCTTTTCTACTGTCAATAATGAAGGCATGAATCCAACAGGAGGCAATGCACCTAATGGATTAGCTCCTTCCTTGCAACCAGGCAGCAGAAGTTTTGGAAACAGCCAAACTGGTAAAGAAGGTCTGGATTCAGCTCAATCAGTGGGAATATTTGGTGGATCTCAAAAAACCAATAAAGATGGTGATGTCTATGATTTCAAGTCTTCAGTGTTCACCTCTAGTGGATCTGTCCCTGCCAAGATCGGAGAAAGGAATGAGGTTGGTTTTGGAGTTCCTTCACCGCAAACCAGCTACACCGCTGATAGAAAAGTTTTTGGTGCTCCAGTTGCCTTAAGTTCTGTACCTTCACCGTCGATATCTCCAGCTAAACCTGCCCCAATTGGATCTTCATCAAGTGGATTTCGGACAGGAAACTCTGAAGCTCCTCAATCATTGCGTGGATCATCTCCGTCACAGCAATCTATGGGCAAATCACATAACAGCAGGACACAAGCACCAGCAGACTATTCTAGAAACTCCGAGATGGGCACAAGATTTGATTCTGAACAAGACTTATCTAAAAAGTTTTATAGTGTAAGACAGCTGAACATGTTTAATTATTATATTAATTTTTCTACCTTTATTTACTTTCCTCAGTCCTCTAGGAAATACTATCACCAATGCAAAGAACTTTTAAGTAATATAAGTGCACATCTTATTTGTTGCCTCATGGAGCATCACCTACATACTTATATACTTTGGCATCTTCTTGTCCCCTTCGTTACAGATAAATGAAATGACGAAGGAGTTAGATGCCCTACTAGCATATATAGAAAAGGATGGTGGTTTCAGAGATGCCTGCATAACCTTCCAGCAGCGTCCTCTTTCTATGTTTGAGGATGGCTTGCAAAACTTTTTGGAGTTGTTGCAGGTCTTCAAGGTATATCATAATTGCGAGCGCCCCCCAACTCTTCCTCCCTGTGTCCAGTCCTCTCTTATAAAAACTTTACCAAATGTATATGCAGGGCAAAGTAGAGGAACAATGTTCAAAAATTGAAGATCTGAGGAACAAGATGTTTCAAGGTGAGACATTCATATGTTCTTTTGGCTCTCTTTTAGTAAGTTGGTAGAACAGGGTACCCCCCCGCCCCACCCCTTTTTTTTTTGCTTCCTTACATACCTGAAAGAAATTATTTGATCAAAATGATATGCTTTTGCAGGATAAATAGTTCATGTCATTTTTGCCACTGTTTGTAATGTATATAATCAGGGAAAACACGTATGCAATTATGCATACCAACATGGTCTGGACATAATTTTGAAGAAATACAAGTGATTATTCTTGATTAATAGCTATGTTTAATTTGCTTTATTGGATCACTTACAAATGAATGAAGCCACCAGAAAACTTGGGCTGATATGTGACATATTTTTTGTTCTCTTCAGTTTCTGCTAGGCAAACTTACATGAAAGGAATTGTTAGCCAGTCTTCAGATAATCAGTACTGGGATATATGGAACCGTCAGAAATTGAGTCCAGAATTCGAAGTGAAGAGACAAAATATTCTCAAAGCTAACCAGGTATCAGTATCTGACATTCTGACTAACTTCATTTGTTTGTATGACATCGGAGGAGAATAATAAGTCCTTTATCATACAGAATTTGACAAATCAGTTGGTCGAGCTGGAGAGGCACTTCAATAATCTGGAGATGAACAGATCCAGTGAAACAGGAAGAGTGGCTTCTAATCGAAGAGCTGTTTATTCTAATAAGACAAGGTCGAGGTATTTAACTGTTAGACCATCTTGCTACAAATTTCATATACATTTAGTGATTATCATCAATTGGATGACAAACAACCAAACGAGTGGCCTTGTTGTGCTCCGCTCCTTTCAAAGCGACTATGTAGCTCATAAATGCATGTAATCTTTCACTTTAATGTTTGTTCTCATCAGAATATTTTGATGAAAATACTCTTTTGCTTTGTATTTTTCTGTTTGTAATAACAAAGTCAAATTCTCTGCACATTGTATGGCTAGCATCATTCATATCGATTAAGCTATATAGTATGCTTTGCTATTTTTTAGATGCTCTTTCTGGATAATAACTAAGTTTGTCGTGTATGTAGTTCTATTTCTCAGTGCTATTCTCTATATTTCAATAGTATGTGTGTTTTGTTTTACCTTTTCTTTTGTGGATCTTTTCATGAATACGATGATTTTAAACATATTCTCGCTTTTACTTTTTCAGTCAGACACAATTATCCAGTGTATATAATGCACTGAACTCGCAGTTGGCAGCTGCTGAGCAGCTATCTGAATGCCTTTCAAAGCAGATATCTGTGTTAAATATTGGTTCTCCTACTAGGAAGCAGGGGGCGGTGACCAAAGAGTTGTTTGAGTCAATTGGTTTAGCCCACACAACTGATGCAACCAAATTTTCAGGCATCACTCCTAAGCCAGTTAAGCGGTTTCCATCAGTGAATGAGCATTCAAAGGGAATATTAGGGCCTTCCAAGAGTGGCGAGCCTGAGACCGCTCGAAGGAGGAGAGAATCACTGGATATGGTAAGTTATTGAGCTTGAGACCCAAAACATCGCATTTTCTCATGTAACATCACATGACTTGGAAAGAAGATGTGGGTCTTTGTTTTCTATTACATCCTCGCTCCATTCCAAATTGTAAGACATTTTGCCTTTTCTAGATATATTGTTTTTTCTATATATCTAGACATAGTGTACGGTGCATAGCAAAAACTACGTATCTAGAAAAATCAAAACGTCTTATAATTTGGAACGGAGGGAGTATTGTTCTTCATGTGGTGGATAAGCAATAAATCTGACTACAAATTATTTGTCAACTTTTTAGAGCCTGGCTAGTTTGGAACCTCAGAAAACAACTGTTAAAAGAATAGCACAGCAACAACGCCTCAAAATCAGCAGTGATCTACCATTCAGGTCAAACAAGAAAATTTTTGATTCTCAAATGGCAGCAATATCACAGGAAAAGTCAAGCGATAGCTCCAATTCATCTATAGTAGAATCATATGTAAGCAGACTGCATTCTCTGAGTGAAGGTAAGTTTTTACAAGCCTTAGACATCAATTTTCTGGGGTTTCTATTAAGATCACGAAGATTCTTATTATATCATCAGTCTTTGTAATTCTTAACTTGGAACATTTTCTGACAGTTTCAGATGTAAAAGAAAAACCCTCAGGACCCCAACAGAACCCTTTGTTCAAATGGGTAAAGGAATCAACTGGATCATCTCAAATCTCAGAGCAAAAGCATTTTGAGTTACCAGGCCAAATGAAAAGCACTGCACAATCTTCAAAACTGACACCATCTTCACCATCATCATTCAGTTACACCCGAATGGGTGCACAAGATAGTATCAACCCATCCAGTGTGCCATCGTTTGGAACAAAACATACTGTGTCTAAGCCAAATACTTTAACCTTCAAAACCACTATAACCCCTAAAAGTAATGCCAAGACAGAGCCAAATATATTACCTTCCATAACAGCTGCAAAAACTTTTCAGAGTCCACTGTCTGTGAAAACTACTGGGGAGTCTGGAGATTTGCCTACATTAACTATGAAGAACAGACAGGATAGTCAGTCAATGCCATCTTTGGGGAACATAAAAGGACCGTGTGCTTCTCTGCAGAACAAGGGTGGCATATTTACAGATCTTGGCAAATCGTCTTTTACTTCTGAACATTCCAAGCCGGCTGTATTACATGAGAAGACTGGCCAGCTTAGTGGGGTTGGCAATGCTGCACAGAACACTGTGAAAGATACCCCCAAGATGGCACCTCAACCTTCTGCGTTCTCGCCAGCTCCTGTTACTCAGAGTGATTCATACTCCTTAAGGTCGACTATTTCCTCTTCAGCCACATCAGCCTCATCAGGTGCGAAAACTTCGGATGTTTTATCTAGCGCAATGCAGAAAGTTTCTCCAATAGTGCCCGGGGGTACTGTGTCTAGCTCAATCCCTACTCCTGCTAAGGATTCGTCAACTGGCTTGAGTCAAAATGCTTCCAAACCTGAAACGCTAAAAACAGAGGTAACTAGTACCATAGTTTCTGTAAGTTCGACTTCAGTCATATCGACCACTGAAAGCAAACCTTCAGTGCCTCCAACAACTGGCGCCAGCTTGCCTTCTGCTCATGTCTCTGCTCCTAAAACAGCGCCAACAACATCAGAATCAGTTGTCACTTCCACAGGAAAAGATGTAGGACCAAACACTGACGCCATCGCAACCGATGAAGATGATATGGAAGAGGAGGCGCCTTCTGCAAGTGCCGAACTCAACTTGGGAGCCCTTGGTGGATTCAGCCTCGGGTCCCAGCCTTCTTCAAGTCCTCAAAAGTCTAATCCTTTTGGTGCCTCCTTTGGTACATCTGACAATAAAAGTTCAGGCACACCATTTACTTTGACAACCAGTCCAGGACAGCTTTTCCGACCAGCGTCGCTAAGCATTCCTTCAGCTCAGCCAGCCCAACCATCTCAATCAACTAGTTCTAGTTCTTTTTCTAGTACGTTCTCAAGTGGGCTTACTGGATTTGGACAGCCTGCACAAATTGGATCTGGCCAGCAGTCAGCATTTGGGAAGCCTGCACAGATTGGAGCTGGTCAGCAGGCAGGATTTGGGCAGACAGCACAAATTCAATCTGGATTTGGTCAGCCTGCACAAATTCAAGCTGGTTTTGGTCAGTCAGCACAAATTGGATCTGGGCAACAGTCAGGATTTGGGCAGCCTGCACAAATTGGGGCTGTCCAGTCAGGATTTGGGCAGCCTGCACAGTTTGGTGCTCAACAGGCACTTGGATCAGTGCTGGGTTCTTTTGGACAATCGCGCCAGTTAGGAGGCGTAGGTTCTGGAGGATTTGGTGGATTTGCTAGTGCTTCTACATCTGGGGGTTTTGGTTCTTTATCTTCAAGTAATGCTGGATTTTCTGGTGCTGCATCAGGTGGGGGCTTTTCAGCACCCGCTGCTTCTGCAGGTGGTGGTTTTGCTGCTGCTGCTACTAGTGGAGGTTTTGCTGCTCTTGCCTCCAAAAGTGGTGGTTTTGCTGGTGCAGCTTCATCTGGTGGTGGTTTTGGAGGTGCTGCCCAGGGAGGTGGCTTTGGCACTGGTGAGATCTCTGAAGTTGTGTTCTGTTTTGAACAAATACTTACTTTTGGAGGGAAGTTTTGGATAAATGCTAATGTGTGACAGTGCAGATCGCTTATGGTTTGCATAAGTGTTTAATTAATCATCCAACATTCCAACCTGTGGTCATCAATTTAAAGTTTTGCTAGTTGCTGGCAGTTAAATACACCTAGATTGATTTTATTGTTTGGTTAACTATTGGTATTTGGAGTTGGAACTGCTAGGTTGCATTTCTCATTTCTTCTAGATAGAAGATGCTAGCATATAATGCATAGGCTCCGTTAGGCTTACAAAAAAAATTTATGCTCTCCCTTGTCAGCAATTATCCCTGATCAGTTTCTATTAGGTTTACTCATTTCGGCTGTCCTGAAAAAGCCTATATAAAGTATTTGATCTTGAGCTTTAGGAATACTATATATTGATTTTAAGTCTCACAGACAATTTTTTCAAGCAGTAATCCATAAACCCATTTCAATCAGTTTGTAGTCTTAAATGTTAAGTGTACTAATTATTGATCAACCTGCATTACCATCAGCTGAGACATGCTCTAACTCAAATAGTCAGATATTAGGTTTGTTGTCTGCAAGTACTTGTCATGTCAGATACTCCATCTATTCCAAATTATAAGTTGTTTTGGCTTTTCTAGGTACATAGCCTTTGCTTGCACCGAAAGAATTAATTTACAGTGATAAATTTATCTGTTTTGTCTGGTGCCAGCAGCCTGTTTTGGCAACTAACAGAATTTGGTTGGTTTGAAGGTGGTGGATTCGGATCCTTCGGTGGTAATCAAGGAGCTGGGTTCTCGGCATTTGGAGCAAGCGGAACTGGAAGACCGCCAGCTGATTTCTTGACACAGATGCGAAAGTAGGCTCCAGGCAATCCCCAGACAAGTTTATGCATTAGCTATGGCTAGATGCAAGAGGCCTCGGAGATAATTTCAATTGTGATGTCAAAGTTACGTTTATGTTCCACTCTTCACCTGTATAGACTTGTTAGGCAGGCCTGCCCGTGTATCCCTTAAGCGTTGCTATCAGCACAGTTGCAGGCACAGCCATCAGAGCTTGAGGCCTTAGCTTGAAAAAGTGTGGAAACCTTCCTCCTAGGCGGAGCTGTTGCAGACACATTACCGCAGGATGCCCTGGATGAGGCCCTCGCTTCGCTCCATCAATTGATGATGGAGGCTACGATTTGGGCACCTTATTGTTTTCTCTTCTTTTGCAAAACACAGTAGAGATGCCCATAGCATCGACGGTTGGTCTTGGATTCCTGCGGGTTTCTCTCCAGGGCTACCAATTTGCTAAGCTCAGGCTCCATGGCTGCATGAAATGAAAAGAGGTCGTGTAAAGGCCCTTGCTTGAACGTGATTCCTCCTCCAGCTTTGTCAATACAATTCCCGGCCTCTTTCCCATATTCCCTGTCACGAGCCAAGAGCTAGCAGCAGATTGCTGCAATTTGCAAAGACATGTGCCCTGTTTGTTTGGGATTGTTTGACTGATAAACCATGACTCAAAGTACTGTTGACTGATTTGGTGGTTGAGAAAAATACTGTTCGTTGACTGAAAAAGTACGCCTTATAGAAAAATACTGTTCGTTGACTGAAAAAGTACGCCTTATAAGCCAAACAAGTCCAAACGAACGGGGCGATGGAGAAAGGGATCGAGAGAAACAAGAGCATATGTGAAAGGACCTAGGATGTCGCCTAGAGGGGGGGTGAATAGACGTTTCTGAAAAATAACACCTTTAAATGCGGAAACAATTAGAAAGGGGAGTTTTTAAAATGAAAACTCTAAATTAAGAGTATTACCACCCCTCACAAGTTAGCCACAGAGTAAACAAGGTATAAATAATATATCTAGAAGCTACAACCCTGCAACACCAAGTTAGAACAGAGAATAAATATTTTCAGTGCAGGCAGGAAATACCGAACGTGTCCGGTATGAATACCGGACGTGTCCGGTATACACGATTTTTGCAGATTGGCCCCGAACTTGCTCCTTTCGATTTCTATCTTCAAACCAAACTGCAGGCACCTAATGGAGATGACAATATACACAGAGAACCTGCAGAATAGCTAGAGCAACACAAATATCAAATGAAATGTGAATTGAGACACGATATTTGTTTTACCGAAGTTTGGACTCGTTCGAGTCCTACTCTCCGTTGAGGGGGCTGCGGGCGACCCAGCGAAGGTCAGTCCTAGAGGGTACCACGAAGGTCACTCTAGCCGGAGTCTTTTCCAACTCCTTTTCCTCCTTCCACTAATTTGATTCCGAGGCGGCGGAATCGACCGTTACAAACTTTCTGAGGCACACCACAATCTCTCGGTTGCTCTCCGGCGACGCCTAGCCATCTAGGACCGAAGAGTCCAAGAGTAACAAATGCAAATCACGAGATTGACAATATGCACAAGTGCTCAAGTGGTGGCTTGCTCTCTTTTTCAAATTCTCTCTTAACCCACAAATTGATTTTGTAATTTGGATCACACACTCACTAAGAGATGGTTTAGGAAACTTGGCAAGGCTCAAAAACGTGTGTGTATATCAGCAGAATCAGCAGCCTCCAAAGGTGGAGGCTTAGGGGGATTTATAGCCCCCTTGAAAAACTAGCCGTTTTATAGACGTTGCAATACCGGACACGTCCGGTATGACTTACACTGCGCCAACGGTAACTAAGTTACAGTGAAGTTGTGAGGCGTCGGAACTCCCGATGAATGCCGGAACTCCCGACCGCCGGAACTCCCGACTCACGTTGGAACTCCCGATCCTCAGCAAATTTGAAAACCATGTAACTGAGTTAGAAAATTTGAGGTGTCGGAACTCCCGACACTTAGTACATTTAAAAACAGTTGTTGGCCTTTGGTCATCCATACCGGACACGTCCGGTATGACCTGGACAGAGAACTCTCCAAATTATTTAAATTGCGAGTCGTCGAAACTCCCGACCATTGCCGGAACTTCCGACCGTCGGAACTCCCGACATACGTCGGAACTCCCGACGAACCAACCCGAGAACAACACTTTTACAATTACTGGGCAAATACCGGACACGTCCGGTATGAATACCGGACACGTCCGGTATTGCCAGACCAGCAAAAATAAAGTTGGCTCTTTTGTCGCTCAAATACTCAAAACTCACATGGGTTGGCTTGAGCACTTATGAAACATTATCTATCAACATGATGCATCCCTCTTAATAGTACGGCATTTCTATTTACTCAAATTTAAAAGTATAACGAATGTAAACCTTTTGAGTTGCTCTTTTTGAACCGAAGCCGTGTATTCCAATCTTCATTGAGGGTGCCAACATGTTGATATTGATCTTTTTCACTTGAGCATAACCATCTTGAGCACGTGACTTGATTCCATTCATCAAATTTGAATAATTCCAAATGTATCAAGTCACTCTTATCAAACACTCCAATAGTGATTTGATCCTTCACATCAATATGACCATCGTAGCTTGATTAGTACCTCAACTAAATGCAAGTACTTTCTTCTTCACCCTGGCTAGGTTCTTCGGCCGTCAAGCCGTCGCTTGCCCTTCACCCTTGCTTAGTACCTTGAAGCCTTTCCCTGCTATCTTCACCATCTCAAGCCATCAAGTCATATCTTGTGTTGAATCATCCATTCATTTGTATTGTTGTCTTTTTCATTTCAATTTAGCAAGCTTCAAATATGAGACCATTCCATATGCAATCCCTTATGTCTCATTAATTAATTCTCACAAGCTTGCTTTTACATAGTACATGGAAATCCCACAATAAACAAGCCTTTGCATGAATTCCATTTGCATTGTTGTCTTGTGCTTGAACTAGATTGTTTATACAACAACACATCATTTTGGCTTTCATTAAGTACCTGTGAGATAACCTATCACCTGTCCATACTTAGCAAACGAGTTAGACCTTTAATCACGTTGTCATTCAATCATCCAAAACCTACTAAAGAGCTAGATGCACTTTCAATATGATACCCAAACGCTTAAACAAGTAACAACCGAATGTATCCACGCAATGTTTCGCCAAATATATCTATAATAATATAAGAATGGAACAAGGAAAAAGGGTGAGCAGCGAAAGTTACGGCCTTGGTCGATGAGCTGATTAATTCCACTGCATGCATGCTCTACGGAAGCATCTGCAATCAAACTGTAGGCGAACGAACCCCAACTAATGCCCGGGGAGTATTTACGACGTGGTCTCGATCGGTTTCTTCATGTTCATCGGCCGGCCGGTCATCTTTGCTGACAACTCATCGGAGCCCATGCTCAGGGAATCATGTACTCCGCAGCTATTTGGAAACGGAACATATGCAGCGCACACATGCCTCGACCTCGCTTCAATCCAATTCAATTCCTCAACAGTGAAGTACAGGCATGGTATAGATACCATATATATCGATCGATCATCACTCAGGGTCAGGGGCCGGCCTCGTTGCTTATCGTAGTATTGTGTGTGTGTCTCTCTCTCTATATATATCACTTGGTTATTAGTCGCAAGGATTATTCCCTTACCAACTTATTCCAAGAGAGCACATCTATTCTTGCTCCTTGTCAAGCTTTTCCAGTACTTGAATTGAATGCAGTAATGCAATGACCTGGTGGTGTGGGTTATCGTGTTATTGGTGCACGTGTCGCCTCCATAACTTCTTCACACCTGAAGCAACAGTGGCCCCGTTCGCTTCGCTGAAAAAACAAGTCGAAACATTGTTCCGGCTGATTTGTTGTGAGAGAAAAACATTGTTCCGGCTGAAAAAACAAGTTGAAAAAGACGGATTATAAAAGAAGCGAACAGAGCCAGTATCAGTATATACAAGTGAACACACATCGCTATCTTACTTCCTCTGTCGCAGATTATAAGTCTGTTTTAGTTTTGCCCAAGTTTGAGGAAAAAAAGTTAGCACCTACAATACCAAATAAATGCAAAATATATTTGATGGTGTATCTAATTGATCTTATCCGATCGTAGATGTCTGTTGATTTTTCTCCCATAAACTTAGTTAAAATTAGAGAAATTTGACTTATAACAAAGCTAAAACAACTTATAATTAGAAGGCTACAAAATGAGCCCAACAGAAGACCAAAAAATCTCTAAAAAAATAAAAGAACAAAGAAGCAAAATTAAATAGTAACAATAAACAGGCCACCTTTTACTATTATCAGGATAGAAACCGGTCACTCTGCTCCGAGAAACATCAGAGCCTAGAGATGCTGCAGCTGCAACTAACCTAACCCTTTTCCTTTTTCTTCTTCATTCACATGCGTGCCCTGGCCAAGGAGACTAGAAATTACGCTGATGCAATCATGCGTGCTCACGACGTATGCATCATAACTAGATAGCTATGTGGGACACACAACCTTCTGGAAGGCAAAAGCCAAAGGCCAAAGTCCAGAGGCCATGCCCATGCAGTTACTCATGTAAGAAGAAGCATCTCTACTCTCTGCACGGAGGACAAATCATGGTCAGAACAAGTGCAAGCATAAAGTTTATGCAAGCATAAAGCAAAAGAAGGATGCAGGGCAATCCAAGAACCAGGGCTCCGTTTTAAGCTCGCTTTTATGTGCCCTATGTAGAACAGTGAAGTTACGGCACCGGCTTCAAAGTTCACACGGATACAGCCTATAGTTAAGTAATCTGCTGCTCAGCCTGAACTCGCGGCAGGGACATGCGTCGAAAGGCTTCCTGCTGCTGCACTATAGCCGCTGCAGGGGCAGGCGCCGAAAGGCTCTCCTGCCGCACTGTAGCCACAGCAGGGGTAGGCGTCAAAATCAGCCATGTTGTCACATCTAGTCATTGTAGCAGCCTGACATGTCTGTGTATTAGGATTAGTACAGTTGTATATATAGTTTCCCAGTGCAACTTAGTAAAGAGAGTGAGTTCAGTTTTGTCATCTTCTCTGCAGAGCTCCGGCTAACGCTGATGCTTGTGCTGTGTGTGTGCACACTCTATTCTTCCTCCCTTCTTCTATATCTAGCCATAGTGTGGTCGGCAACACTGGTGAGCGATCGGCTCACCCTTACCGGAGATCCAGGGCCAACAGACGTTGCCTTATCATCCCTTTGGCCTGGCTGCCTAGTAGCTAAGCTAAACAGGTGCCAAACTTACCAAAGGAGACAAAGGGGAATTCTATGCTTATTCTGTTATTCCATTCGTTGCCTTTGTGCAGTCCCAAGAAGGCATCAAAGAGTTATACAATGGCCACCTTCGCTTTATCTCTATGCAAAGCTTTGTGCAATTCTTCTTCCGGATGCCTGCAGTCAAAAGAAGGAAGTTTCAAGCTTTGTCCACATAACCGATATTCTTAGGCCGCCGGACTGTGTCCCTCCCTTGCTTCTGAATGCATACAGCCCAACAGTGTAAGAGGATGAAACAATATAACTCATGTGATCACGGACCGCAATGGATCCTAACAACAACTGATCGACCGCCAATGCTGTCCGCCCTTTCATTTCAGCAAACCGGAGGCCAGAAACTCAGTGGAGACTGGAATTGGTTCTCAAACTAAGATATCATTGAGGAATCTGAGAGAGGAGGCTGGCAAGTTCTACGACATCAGATTGCAGACCACAGCCCCCAAAAGGTTCTCATGAGAATAAGGTGCTCCATTCCCTCTAGTTTTTCAAAAGAAAAGAAAAGAGGAGAAAAGATTGTGCTTCGCTTTCGCCCTTCTCATGTGGCAAGTAATTTCAACCAAAAGCTGGTACAAGTGTTTATGATCAGAACACAATGCAAGAGCTAGAGAGGGTTGCTGGAATTGACAAAAGAAAAAGACTGGTGGGCGTAGGGTCCACGGGTACCCCAGGGGAATAAGGATAATATCTCTTTTCAGTTGCTGCAAAGATTGGGCAGTCAGGGTTGAGTGCTTCTTCAGATGATTCGACATTCTCCCTCTGCCTTATAAGACGGGACTCTGCGTAAGATCTCGGCAAGAGGAGAGGAGAGGGGAGGAGAGGACAGGAGGTAGGTAGTTAGTTTGAGAAGCCAAAGGTTGTCTCACTCCCAGAAGACCGCACAACAACTATTTTGGTTACTAGAAATAGAGGCACTGAGGCTGAACACCGGTAAAGCTGCCAAGGATCCCAGCAGTCAGGAATGTGCAGCCTGTAAGCAGACATTTCAGTACATAACAGGAACTGAACAGGTGAGATGTGCTTCTACTCTTTTGTTTACATGACTGAAGGAAGGCATCACCTAGGATGTATTCCGAGTAAGAAACGTACTGACATGGAGTTCTTGGTGACAGATGTATCATCAGCAACAGCTCCACAACCGTAACCAGCACCTGTCCTCAAGCCCGGGCTTACCTCCTGAGAAGCAGTTTCTCCTGCAAGGAGGAGGAGATGCAGGACTCGTCCTCTCCACCGATGCTAAGCCTAGATTGAAATGGACACCAGAGCTGCATGAACGTTTTGTGGAGGCAGTACATCAGCTAGGAGGGCCAGACAGTGAGTATACATGTGATCAAAACTTATATCTGTCACTCGTACACGGCACATGGCAGGAAGCCTGAATTAACACAATGATGGTACCTTCTAAACTCCGCATGCGGAACTCTTGCAGAAGCTACGCCAAAAACAATCATGAGGCTGATGGGAATCCCTGGACTCACCCTGTACCATCTTAAGAGCCATCTCCAGGTACATCTTGAGTTCTCTGCTACTGCTGTATGGCATGAAAAAATTGGCTTGCCGTCACCATCACAAACTAAGGTAGATGCTTTTCTGTTTGTCTCATAGAAATACAGACTCAGCAAGAATCTCCAGGCCCAAGCTAATGCTGTCAACGCAAAGAATGGTAGGCTACTACATGCTTCTTAAACCTGAAGTAACTAAAATCCCAACCGTCCAATGGTGGAGATACTAAACTTGCCTTTGTTTCGCAGTGTTAAGCTGCAGGACAGGAACAGACAACCCATGCGAAGGGAGCGGATCACCACCACCACACTTGAACCTAGAGCCCCAGATAAACAGGTGAGAAGCGAGTAAAAATTGTTAATTGCAAACATTCTCCTCCAACTTTCAGAAGCTGACATAATTCAGAAATTTATCAGGTCAATGCACATAAGTGAATCCCTCCAGATGCAGATCGAAGTTCAGAGACGGCTTCATGAGCAGCTAGAGGTATACAATCAACTCTGTAATTTAATTAAAATCTATTGCATACCCTGCCTAACTCAGTGTCTCCATATTATAAACACATGGAAGTTGCTATATTTGAGTTGCCTGAATTTCCAGGAACCCAACTAATACAATTAAAAGGACAAGACAATTCACATTTTTTCTATATAGTTAAACAATAACAAAATTATATGTCGTTGAACAACAACAACAAAATCAGAAGAGAAGTGTGAACGTATAAGCAATGCAAAAGCAAAAATTGTGTAGCGTCAGGAACACTAGTAGCTATTAGCGCCAGGAACACTAATAGCTTCCGATCGTGCAAAATTACAACTGCAGGCGAAAATAAAAAAATGAGAACACTTTGTAAAAATGTTTCCATGTCAAAATCTTTAACTAACATAATACTACTCCTTCCATAGTAGAAAAAAAAAAGACCTCATAGATTTAGTCCAAGTCAAACTATCATAAGTTTGACTGATTTCATAGAGAAAATCAGCAACATTTATGACACTAAATAGTTATACTATAAACTATATTAGAGGGCTTAACAAGAAATGCTACACGCAAAAGAGAGCATTAGAGGCTAGAGGTCTAGAGCCCCATGGGCGTCGAATTCTCACCAGCCAAGGAAACAAATGGAAGAGCTAAAAGAAAGTAAAAGGGCATGACAAGCCCTCTGGTCGGATCACGATACCTCAGCCTCCACAGAGTAGAGTGCTGTAAGCTGGCCACCGGCGAGAGGCGGCGCCGGCGGCCGGAGTTGGAGCCATCTGCCCTGGCCTGCCACTCCGGCCATCGTGCAGCCATTGGATCTTACCGAGCACAGTACGTCTCAGATTCATCCAGCAAATGGGGTATTGGGCCCATTCCAGAGGCACGCACGCACCGTAATTTCGGCCTATAAACTGGATCACAGTAGCCCGTCCGCGACTGATTCGAAGCCCAATTTTCCTTGTGCTGCACCTGCACGACTCAGATGGGCTCGGCCCATTACCTCCAGTTTAGGCCCATTTATATTTTTCAATTTCCATTGATGGCGCAGGTTCAGAGACACCTGCAGCTGCGGATCGAAGCGCAGGGCAAGTACCTGCAGTCCGTGCTGGAGAAGGCGCAGGAGGCGCTGGCCAAGCAGAGCGTCCACCTCGACGGCGGTGAGACGCCGACACAGCAGCTGTCGGAGATCATCTCGAGAGCCACGGCGACGAGGCGCGCCCATGTCCAGCAGGAGCACCTCCACCAGCACCAGCGCCACCTAGGCGGCGATGGATCGGTGGACAGCTGCCTGACCGCATGCGAGGGGTCCCAGTGCCAGAGGGAGAGGGAGAGGGAGAGGGACCAGGACCTGCTGTCCATCGGCCTCTCGTCTGCTGCACCGCCTCCCACTCCCAGCGGAGGCTACAACAACGACAGAGGCGGCGCCACCGCCACCGCCATCTGCAAGGAGTTCCTGTTTCTTGACGAGCCCGGCAGGAGAGAAGGAGGAGGAGGAGGGTCCTCGGATGACCATGGCCAGCAGGAGCTGGACCTTAGCATCAACGGCAGGAGCAATCCACCAAGGCCTCGCGACAGCCAAAGGATCGACCTGAACGGGTCGAGCTGGAACTGATGATCGTCGTTTAGCAATGAGATGCAGACAGACAGGTCTTGTTCCTCGTAGCTTAATTAGCTGCAGTAGTGAAAACTGAAAACAGCAAGGTTCACAGATGTGCTGTGCTGTGCATTTCCGTGCCCTGCAGCCATTTGCAGTAAGATCTGGGGTACTATCACCAACAGCCTGCGCGTTGTCGTCCATGCATTGGGCGGATGGTGCAGCAAATAACTAAGCAGTGACTGATGATGATGATGGATTGGCGGTGAAATTCAGTTTCTATGAGGGCATGCGAGAAAGAGAACCCAGATGTTCTCCTCTGCTGTCTGATTAGTTAACTCTGTAGATCGATGTGTATGATATATGCTACGTAAGTACGTAGTACATTTTTTTTGTCATATTCGCCGCCAAATGTTTTTGCTTTAGCTTTACTCTACTTCTCAGCTATCGCTTCACCTGATATGTTGGTGCCGAGCAAAACGTTGCTCCTGATGTGGAAGCATGAATGTGTTAATTGCTAAAACATCCACATTTCATACTACCTTCATCCCAAAAAAAGTAGCTATAAGTTTATATCGAGTCTAGAATTATAACTCAGCGTAAATATATAATAAAAGCATATTTGATGATTAATCTAATGATACTAATTCATATCATTAATGTTAGTATTTTTTTATAGATTTAGTCAGACTTAAAATTGTTTGATTTCTGTAAAAATCGAGAATTGTATTTTTCTTTTAACTGAGGGATGAATTAGATGGTATTCTTGTTAGGATCAACGGCCGGTTTCTACACTAGCGGATGATTGAAAAACAGTAATGCTTGGTTGAGGATGTACGAACAGACCGACGGACCCACGCGCGTTACGCCCAATAAAAAAAAGGGGCGCGTAGTTATAATCAGGGGTTATTTGGATTGCTACCATTGTAATTTTTAAAGTTTCGAGAACTGCCATTACTATTCACCTATTATGAATCTTACCATTGTAATTCTTCCCCTCTTTGAAATATGCCACGGTATACACTTGGAAAGGATTTAGGCCCACTTGCAGACGTACACTGCATCATCGTATTTTTATATGGACAAAAGTGCCCCCTCCACCTTCCTTTCTCTATAAATCATTGACGTGTGGACCCCACTAGCCATCTCCTTCCTCCTTTCCCGTCTCCTCCAGAACAGCTTCTTCCCCACCCATACCGCCCTTGGCCATGCTTTTTTGCCAAGACGCCGCCGCTAGTCGGCTCGGCCTTCGTGCGGCGTCATTGTTGGACATCATGGCAAGCACGAATGCGATAATTTGGATTCATGGCGGCGGCGGGTTCGACGAGCGACATGGCAAGCACGACCTCACCCGCTCCATGGCAAGCACGAGCACCGAACTGGGATAGAGGCAGGAGGTGTCGCACGCCCTCAACCGATCCCATGCCTCATGCTGCATGCCCGCGCCTGTGTTGTCGCACCGAGCTCGCTCGTCCCGAAGTTCAATGCACGGCAGCGTATGGATCGAAAATGCGCTTCGCCATCACCGCTGGATCCGCTTCTTTGGCAACAGGGCCAGGAACACGGTAGTGAGCTCGTGCGCGACGGGGAAGAAGGCTGTTGTGGCGGAGGGCACTCGGCGCCGGCAGCCGCAGCATGCTCCCCTCCGACGTCGTGGGCTCTGCCTTCGCCTCTTGCACTTATGCCTCCGATCCGGCCTCCCCTTGGGCGTGGCGTCGAGCGCCGGTGAGCTCGAGAGCAGCCCCAGTCGCCTTGGTGAACCTGCAAGCGGGCGGTACCCTGTGCAGGCGAGCACCAGTGGACGAAGGAAGAAAGGAGTAGAGGATGACACGTGGGCCCTCTAGGTCAGTGGGCGGAGAGAAAAAAATGACGAGGGTATTTTAGGTCATATGAAAATACAGTGACCTGCAGGTGGTCCCGTTATGGTTTCAAACCTAGAAATGGCACGGATGAGGTAGAGACAAAATTGTAATGGTAAGTTTCGAAATAGACAAATAGTAATGGTATATTTTAAAAACACAAAAATTATAATGGTATGGATCAAAATAACCCAATAATCAGACGGGTCCGCACCCTGGGAGCGTTTGGGATCACTCGTTTGGGGTGCATGCGACGTGGGGGCCGTGCGCATGAGACATGACTGGCTGCCTCCTGCGTCCGCTAGCTGGACCAGCTGGCTAGGCCCCTAGCCGCACGCGCCCAGAGATGCAGGCCTCTCTGCCATGCTTGCCCTTTGCTGCGTAGCGCCTAGCTAGGCCTGTTCTGCTTGTCGTGCTGCTCTTTCTCTCTCTGTGTGTGTTGTCTACGCCCGCCAAGCTGCCCCTACCGCGTTGCTGCTTTGGCCAAATGGCTTAGGCGCTTAGCCAGTTGTAGGGCTGGCCAGGACGCTTGTCTGTTTGTGAGAGGAGCGTGGCCCACATCTGCATGGTAGCTAAGTGTTGGCCTAAATTTTTCCGTCGCTCCATGGCATCTAGTTCCGTTTGTTTCATGCGTTTCAGATGTATATTTTATTTGAATGTTGCATGTGTTTTATCTGGATATTATATATGTTGCAATGGCTATACACGTATTTTACAAGTGTATGTTTTAAATGTTTCAGTTGTTTAAAACGTATGTTGCAAGTGTTTTATCTAGATGTTGCATATGCTGCACTGGCTATACACGTAAGTTGCAAACGTATGTTTGTAAAAAATTTATTTGTTTCGGACGTATGTTGTAATAAATGCTTTATGTTGCAAGTGTTGCATGAGTAGACACGAAAAGTGGGCACAGATGGAGGTGGTCCCCTCGCGCGTGCGGGAAGCGAATCGGGTGCGGTGGCCCCACATGCATGCGTACTGCAGCAGCAAGCAGGGCCGGGCCGGCAGGCCCGGCAGCAGCAGCGCGGGGCGACAACAGCAGCGCGCGGATAGGTGCGGCAGCAGCGTGCAGGCGTGCGGGCAAGAGCTGTATGCATGCGTTATGGGGCCCGCCCAAGCAAAGTGGGAGGCGGAGGTGTGGTGCAGGCGTCTCTTCCGTTGATCGCATACATCCAGGGAAGTACGTCACCTGTGCCGTTTCCTGCTGCATGTAGAGGAAGCGCGTCAGGAGAGTGGGCAGGCAGTAGGCGCGGGCGCGACGTCAGGGCGCTAGTCTTTTCCATTGGAAAAGGAAGCGTGACGGGCTATCGCCGCAGATGCATACAGCTCCTCAGTTGCATCGTCCTGTAGCACGCCGATCTGTCGTAGATGCAGTCGCTGCCGCTGCGAGCCGCAGCGAATGGAGCCATGAAGCTTGCAGGATTCACCGTTGTCGCTGGGCCCGTGCATGGAGTATTAAATATAGACGAAAATAAACATAATACCTTTCCTGGGAAACAATGGACGTTTTAAGCCAGTACCTGTAACACTATTTGCCAAATAAAACGATATGACAAAATAAATTAGATAAAAATAAATAAATAGTGCTAGGAGAGCTGCCGAAAAGCATTTAAATCTGAGCCCCCTCGCAGCAATGGGGCACAAAAGGCTCCAAGATATGGACACCTATAATACTCGAAAACAATTGTTTGGCCTGGAAAAACGGCATAATCCAAAAATGGCATTGCCAAATTAGTAGTCGTTGCAGAACTGTCTCTTTCTAGAAGGATTGGTTAATTAATTATGGAGCAACAATTTATTTCAGACTAAAAGTTGAGTGGAAAGCATCTGATTGCATAACTCAAACTTAAAGAATTGTTTGACCATTTGAGGAGGTTTGATGAACTAAGTATGGACTAACAATCCATTGCGTAGGAAGAAAAATTGCAGTTTCAAGAATCCAACATATATGCAGCACAACATTTTAGGAAATAGTACTTGGTATGCGTGGACAAAAAAATCTTGAACCCTAATTTTAGTAGGTTGATCTGCTTACCGGTAAGCAATTAATCCACACCAGCAACCGTAGAAGATTAAAGAACTAAAGCGAAGAGGAGAGGAGTGAGGAAGCACCTGCGTCGGTACTGGGTGGATCTAAGACGCTGGGCCGGAGGCCCGTGGCCGGGAGCAGGCCGCGCCGGGGGGGCACCCGCATTGGCGGCCACCGGGAGGGAGGGAGAGAATAGATATTTTTCTCTCACATCAAAACCATCGAAATTTCAAATGAATAAGAGTTTTTCTCTCACACCAAATCAGCAAGGAAAGAATAATCCACGGCACGAGCACACGGGGGCACCCGCCGCGGCCACGGGAGAGAGGGAGAGATAGAGTGAGAAGCCAAAGAAGTCCTAAGTACAGTGAATGAGTAAATCAGTGAAGAAGTCCTAATAAAAATCCTGCCAAAGAAACCCTAAGTACAGTGAGTGAGTAAGTACTTACTGACGGCTTACTACCTGTGTGTGTCTTGTACTGAAATGGATTCATCTTGACTGTTCGGCTTGTATAGCCCGGCTCAAATCTAACTTATTCTCCCACTAGAGCAGCCCAAAGTTGAAATCTTATCGACAGGCAAGACCAGTAGTACAAACCCCAAGACAGTCGCGCGGGGGCACGAACCATGACCGATTTTGCAAACATGGAAATTCTATATCGGAGATATGGAAAAGCACACTCTTTTTTGCTCTCTTTGGAATGGTCTAGATCCTCTCATTTTCAGGCATGGACGAAGCTCGCAGCGGATGCACACGAATCCACGCTGCAACTTGCAGTTTTCCAAATCCGTGCTGCTGCCTTGGCCAGCTAGCTGTTGGCCCACCAGTCAGTACGCTGTTCCTCGGCGAACAGAGCTGATGAAAAATATCCAGCTCGCTGCCACGCTGTTGCTAGCGATAGGCATGCTTCTTGTTGTTTGTGGCGGTATTGTTTTTTTGTTTGTCCATGGCCATCTTCCCCCCACTAGTCGCTTTCTGGTCATCTGTATTTTTTCCCTTTTTCATTGGACACTGCTTATTTGACAGACAACGTTGCTCTGTATTTCTGGAATAAAATAAATAGGGTAGTACCTTGCATGCAATAAATATAATAGTATTTTTGTGCAAACATGAGGTCGAAGCAGATTTG